CACGAGAAGAAGAGAGAGAAAGAGAGGCAGGTCTCAGAGAGAGACTGGTGAATCATCGATGGACATCGGCGTATTGCCACTGAAAGAGAGAGTACATTGCATGATCCACCTGCATACACTCCAAGATCGCCCAGTAACCTCTGTCTTCCAACTGGCCATTCAGTGACTGCGCTATCATCCAGTCCGGCCGTGGCCCATTGTAGCCCTATATTAGGATGGGCATTTGACAGTCCAGATTCTCAACCTTGAGGCTCTTCTTTCCTCACATGAGGAACGACAGAGACAAACTAAACACTTCAGTTTGTCCCCAGCATCTGGTTGGGCTTGACATGGACAAACTACGCTTTGGCATCGAGCTATATTCTCATATGCCGGTCCATCTCTTGCCAAAGCCCATTCTGGGTGGGCTCGACATGGACAAACTACGCTTTGGCATCGAGCTATATTCTCATATGCCGGTCCATCTCTTGCCAAAGCCCATTCTGGGTGGGCTCGACATGGACAAACTACGCTTTGGCATCGAGCTATATTCTCATATGCCGGTCCATCTCTTGCCAAAGCCCATTCTGGGTGGGCTCGACATGGACAAACTACGCTTTGGCATCGCATATTCTCATATGCTGGTCCATCTCATGTCTAAGCCCATTCTGGTCGGGCTCGACACGGGCAAATTATATTTCGGCATGGAACGATACTTCTCCTATTCTGGTCCATCTCGTATCAAAGCCCATTATATTCTCATATTCTGGTCCATCTCGTATCAAAGCCCATTCTGGTTGGGCTCTACATGGACAAGCTACACTTCGACATGGAACAATACTTCTCATATGCCGGTTCCGCTTGTATCAAAGACCATTCTGGTTGGGCTCTACATGGACAAGCTACACTTCGACATGGAACAATACTTCTCATATGCCGGTTCCGCTTGTATCAAAGACCATTCTGGTTGGGCTCTACATGGACAAGCTACACTTCGACATGGAACAATACTTCTCATATGCCGGTTCCGCTTGTATCAAAGACCATTCTGGTTGGGCTCAATATGGTCAAACTACACTTCCGCATAGACAGATGTTTCTCGTATGTCGGTCCATCTCATATCAGAGCACATTCTAGTTGGTCTCAACGTGGACATACTGCATTTCGGCATGGAACTATACTTCTCATATGCCGGTTTATCTTGTATCAAAACCCATTCTGGTTGGGCCCGACATGGTCAAACTACTCTTCGGCATAGACCAATACTTCTCATATGCCAACCCATCTCATATCAAAGCACATTCTGATTGGGCTCGACATGTACATGCTATACTTTGGCATGGAGCAATATTTCTCATATGCTGGTCCACTCATACCAAGCCCATCTGGGTCAGGCTCAACATGGACAAGCTACACTTCGCCATGGCTCTATACTTCTCATATGCCGATTCATCTCATGTCACAACATGCTATGATTGGACTCGAGATAGACTAGACAAACTCTTCCGTTTTTCCCCACCATTTCAGCAGTTCAGTATGGGAGAATCCTCCCCTTATGCCAGGTAGTCTGACATCGAAGTCCATTTGATCTGCCTTGACTGACATATCATTACTGTAGCAAGAAACGATGCTGCTCATATACTAGTTCCTTTCTCCTCAAGCCTATTAGGACCAGGCTTGATGTGGGCAAGATAAATATTTTCACCTTCCATTGGAACTTCAACGCTTTGGCATGGGAAAATGCCTCTCAAAGCCTATTCTAATTGGACTGGACACAGTTCACCTGAAGTTCCCGTTTCTCCACCATGTTTATATTTCGGCATGGAAAGATGATTCCTGTCATTTTACGTTGAAGCCCATCAGGATCGGTTGCAACTTGCACAAAACTTTGTTCTTGTTTTTTCTACCATATTAGCACTTCGACGGAAATAGATGCTTCCCAGGTTCCAGTCCATCTTGGGTCTAAGCCCATTATGACCAAACACGACCGGTCCTGGCTTCGAATTGTACATTTGCCAATTCTGAGCATAATCTCGGATCTCACTCCTCCAACTATCTCCCTTCAACATGATGCGATGCGTGATCATCTCCTGTCACCTTCAGTGTGCTCTTTGTATATGCACAGCTCACTTCTCGGTTGACCGCATCCTGTTCGTTGTGAGTGGAGGAACCTCCTTTTCCAGACCTATTTATGGATCTGAGGACGAAGGTATAACATGTAGAAGGTACAAGGAAATAATATTTAAAGAATTTAGGATGACACCAGTCCCACTTTAATCATCGCAGAGCAAATTTCTTCAAAGCAAGAAATGATTTCCCTGAGCCCTGCTAATAAGAATATGGAAACATTGATGAACTTGATCGCTTCGGCTTCATGTGCCCAACGATCAGTCACGATAGGCGCCTACCAAGGCCAGTTATGGTCTATTTATCTTAGAATCCATTACAACAAAATTTATAACTACTCAGACTGAGACCACGGCTCTAGCAGGGCAATACAGTATTGCAGCTAGACACACAAAGGGCTTCAACTACTGTGGCATCCTAAGTTTCGATAGAACGTTCACCTAGTTAGGATCCCCTGGTTCATTAGGGATGCAAAGGACTGTATTGAATACCTCCCATTGCATGGCAACAGTCTCTTCAGTCTAGACTGATGACACTTGAAAGAATTTTTACACACAATACGGAAAGCAACTAACATATATATGGGTCGATAGCCCTTTCGTCCCTTTCTCAGTCTACCCATATTCCTTTCAACCGTATCGGGATTTTCAAACTCCCAGAAAACTTGGTTTATTCAAGCATGTCACCACGTCTTTCAAGGTTACATTATAAAATTGACTTTGTTTCCTTAGAAAGCAGCAATTGACTGAGAGTTTGTTAACTATCTTCTATCGGAGTTCGAGTGAGAGCATATTATCCTACTGTCTCTGTGTATGGTTCACGAGCTGCACAGTGGCAGAGAAAAAGGCAATTCAAAGGGTGATTAAGACGGCCCAAAACATCATTGGCTGTTCACTCCCCTCTTTGGAAGAATTGTATAAGAACAGATGTAAGAGGAAGATATCTAACATACTGAAAGACTCCTCTCATCCGGGACATCAGCTCTTTAAATTATTACCATCGGGAAGGGGATTTAGGGTATTGAAAGCAAGGACAAGCAGATTCAAGAACAGCTTTTACCCAAGTGCAGTATTGAGTTTAAATGCGGGGTCATAAGTTTTTGGTGGAATTTTAATTGCTGGGAGAAACGGGGTATTTATATTTGTATGGTGAGTGTTGTGTATATTTTTAACTTTTTTTTTTGTAGTGGTGTTGTCCAGTTTTACCTTGGGGAAGAGCACCTCATTTCGTTGCACCCACTTGTGAGTGCAATGACAAATAAATTTCTTATGTCTTATGTCTTATGTCTTTTCAGTAACCTTAGACTTATTCTTTTTCTATACCATCCAGGAAGAGGTCTTGCCTCCTGGACACGCATGCCATAATTCGAGATCCAACATCAGGCTTGTGCAATGGCTTCTACTGCTATATTTTTATAGACATAGAAAGGACATAGTCATCCGTACCATCTTTGATTTCAGAAATCTTATCATGTGTATTCTGCCATTCGATTTTCAGCGTCTACAAGGTCTTCCACAAAATACAAGGCATCAGTTTCAAAACCTTCCCTTGCAAGATATAGACGTCTACCTATACTGGTACTGTAGCGTATGTTTTCTGTAAACAACAACAAAAAAACCTATACAAAGCAATCATCTCCCCGGATTCATTGCTCCACGACCTCAGTGCCACAGCAAGCCAAACTCAACCTTGAACCACTCCTATAGTGGTATCTTTGCTGTTCGACCATGTGGAGGATCACTATTCCAAATAACTGCAAGTTCAACGCTGTCGCTGTTGGAAAGTACCAACCATCAATGTATTTGCTGGGGTCTGAATGCCAACTACAGATTCTATTGTTCCTGTACAGGTGCGGACAAGGACACCATCGGGGTGTCATATGGCAGTGCACAAGGAGTCTGCCATAACTCTTCCCTCCGATACCTTTTATCCTAGGGACAGTCTTCCATCACCATCATTCCTAATCGGATGTGATCCAACTACCTCCATGATGACCAAGGTAGCCCTACTTCGCCTGTTCAGGTTGATATTGACAGGCACAAGTCAGTTCTTTCTGGTTCCTCACCTCCTAACTTTGGAGGGAGGGATGGTCTACCATCCAGATCTATCGTCCATGAACTTCACAGTCTGGAGAATATTACCACTTTGACATCAGTGCACGATCGAGCTCGAAAACCATGGACTCGATGTCTATATGTAAATGATTAAAATCTTTTTTCATATCTGGAACAAAGAACTACCCTACGAACTTCCTTTAGAAGTGTTACCTACTTGACCTTTCTCTTTATACTTTGCAATATTATATATCTGTTACTGTTGCCAATTGACCAGATGATTCTGGTCCAGTAGGACTTTTGTCTCGTTCTATGCCCAAACGTCTTCACAGAGGACTCAGTGCCACCGTCCTCCATGTAACATATTGTTCTTCAATGGTCTATCCATCATTCTGAAATCACTCGGCCTTTGTAGCACGTTTAGCTTGTAATGCCAAATTGCTTATTCTCAAATGGCCTTCCTAGCGGCAGTCATATTTGCCATAGGAACCAGCGACGTGGCTGGACTGTAATCCGATCCACCTTTATTCACTCTTCCTGATGAAGTGACTTCCTACTTTAATGTGTCATTCCTAGTCTGAGCATCTAGATTTCATATTTATCTATGCTTGATCATACCATCATTCCGCAGACCACCATCATCGCTTCTAGAGCACATGCTCCATAATACTGATGTAAGATGCTCACCAGAATTTTGTCTGGACACTATCAGAACTTCGGAACAAATAATAGGCTCTTTTTATGCTTTCAGACCTCTCACTTCGAAAGCCCAGCTTCATCCTATCCATCTCTATATCGATGGTCCAGATTGTGTCTATGGCTTACCAGCGGCCAGACGACTCACCGTCTAATCAGCTTTAGGCTCGCTCCACAGAGTGTTGCCTGCCTCGACTACATCTAGAGTAGAATCGAGTCTCTTGGCATCTATTATGCATCAATATGATCTGTGCCTTCCACATTTGCGGAGCACTACCGGTTAGCCGTAGGAACACGCAATACCACTGGATTTGGCAGAGCTGTGTTGTCACCCGTATGTGTGGGACGGCCCACCAGCCAATAAATGAAGCTTGCCAGTCACCCGTATGTGTGTATTCACAGAGGCCACGAAGAAGAAAGAAAGGTTACTTACCTGAAACTATGGTTCTTCAAGTGGACCTCTGTGAATTCACACTACCCACCCATCCTCCCCTCTGTCCGTCACGGGTATCTTATTGTGGTATAACTAGTGCCTGGCGGACAAATTACAGGAACTGAGGGGAATCTTGGGTGGGAGGAGCATGTGCTTCTTGGGCGATCGTCCCATAAAATTGTTACTTTTAGCTCTGGAATGCTCCGAGAACGTCAGCGCAGGTAAACCCATATGTGTGAATTCACAGAGGCCCACTTGAAGAACCATGGTTACAGGTAAGTAACCTTTCTTTCTCCGAGTAGTACTCTGTGAATCCACACGGGTTGTCAAGAGCTTTGTAATTTTCAGAGCTATGATAATGGCGGATGTTTGGAAGTGAGGTACCACGGGTGGGTGGGGCATGGGCACCATGGGAAACATTCTAGTCAGTTATTTAAGCTCTAGAATATTCTGAAGAGTCCTGCGCAGGCGCAGTTTAACCCATTTGTGTGGATTCACAGAGTACCACTCGAAGAACCATGGTTACAAGTAAGTAACCTCTCTATTTTTCTGCTAGACATTGCTTCATACTCCGCTGGTTGAGGAATAAAGCTGTATTCTTTTTCCAGCATTTAATCACATTCAGAAGATTTCTCTTGGGGTCCATAAACAAATTGAACACTGTCACTTGTGGATCTACAATTAGCTGTGTTTTTGTGACGTTCCTTATTTCTGGCCCCACAAAGCTGCAATTACTGAGCATCTCTACCACATACATAAATATCTCAGTTTTTGGCAGCCTGTTGACCTTTGATGTTGATATTTATGATACCCTCAAAAGAGTTAACTACTGATAGTTAATTTGTCTTCTTCCCCCTACTCTTAATTTAGTGAACAGTAATTGTCAGGCTTCCAATTCCACATTGGCTTTCACTGTTATTTTAATATTTTGCATTGGTTATTTCTGGGGGAAATTCTGGTACTTAGGGGAAAGCAGTAATGTAGGGTGGTCCTGAAAGAAAACCTGTGAATTTGGGCTTCTTGTGGAGCCTTGCTATCTGCAAGCCACTGCAAACAAAAAAATAGACATGGACTGTCAGGCATGTATTACCATTAAAAAATAGTGGCCAGAGTTCTACGTATTGTTTGCATAACTTACCACAGCTAACTGACTAGTTGATGGGGCATGATTTATTTATTTATTCATTTATTAAATTTATACCCTGCAGTGTACTCTGGGTGGCTAACAATAAAACAATATAATAAAATAAAAAACAACAATAGTAATATAACTCAAGATGGGAAAAATATTCAAGTGATGATAGGAGGGAAAGCCTGCCTAAAGAGCCAGGTCTTAAGTTTGATCTTGATAACACCCAGCAAAGGAGCCAGACAGATCTCTGGGGGCAGACTGTTCCAAAGTCGAGGGGCCACTGCCAAGAAGGCCCAGTTTCTTGTTCTTTCTCTTTGGGCCTCCCTCGGCGTTAGGCCCCTCAGCCGCCCTTCCTGGCTAGAATGAGTGATTTGGGTAGTTCTAGGTGGGAGAAAGCGTTCCGCTACATATCGAGGTCCTAAACCATTTGGGGCTTTATATGTAATCATTAAAACTTTGAAATCAATGCGGAAACGAATTCTGCTCCATTTGAAGCTTCCGCATCAATCTCAAAGGTAGCCCCACGTAGAGGGCATTACCGTGGTCTAATCTTGAGACTACAAGTGCATGGACCAGAGTAGTGAGCACCCCAACATCAAGATAGGGACGCAGCTGGGCAATCTGCCAAAGATGGAAATAGGCAGAGTGGACCACTGTCGCCACCTTCCAGATGGACCCTCAAGCTGTGAACCTCACTCTTCGCAGTGAGAGTCACTCCCCTGAAAGTGAGGGAGTTTCCCAAACCACCAATGGAGAGGCCACCCACCCTCATGACCTCCGTCTTGTCTGGGTTCAGCCTCAGTCCATTCTCCTGCATCCATTGCAGTACAGCCTCCAGGAGCACTGAAGGGACAGAACAGCATCCACTGTGGTTGGAGAAAAAGGAGATGTAGAGCTGGGTGTCATCAGCGTACTGATGGCACAAAGCCCCACACCCCTGATGACCCTGATGATGCTGTTGTGAGCCTGGTTATGTGCCCATTTGTACAGCCAAGATGTACCCTGGCACCTCATCAGATAGCCATGTCTACACAAACCTTACTTGAACACCAGTAGCATTCTAGTCAGTGTGCATTCTTAGAGCCACATGAGTAGCAGCTAGATCTAGTATGATCCAGAAAATCTGTGGAAATAATCATAATTTTTAACAAACATTATAAGTGTGACAAGCTCCAACCCAGGCTTTTCATATTTAAAAAATAACTTTCAGCAATGTGTTTGATACCAGCCATTAATCACGCCAGACCCAGTAGTTGAAAAATGAAATATTGTTATTACATCAACATCAACTTGGGAATGATCTAAGCTTCAGTTCTTCAGTTACAACAACCCAACAGCAATCCTTTTTCTTCAGTTATATTCTCCTTCTCATCACTCTCCAACCCTCCAGCTCCCTCCTTCTTCAAGCTCCAGGATAGGCTGGCTACATGTACCACCCAGCCAGTGACCTTACTTCCCTGTTAACCAGCAGATTGGTCAGAGTTCCATCACAACAGGATTAGTGGAATGTTAGTCATTATTATATTTGTTTATATTTCAGTGCAAAGAACAGAATTCCAGGAATATGAGAAAGCTACATGAGAGTATTTGAACAGTAACTTGCCTTCCGTACAGTAGGTGTATTTGTATGTGGATCTTGGAGACAAGAATGGGAAATATCCCATAGTGAGAACAATCTAGTTTAGACAAAAGTTCAGGCAGCTTCCATTGTTTGGGAGTCAAAATAATTATGTTTGTATCTTTGCAGAAAATGTCCATTGTCAAACAAAACAAAACAAAATGATGTATTGGTCTTCTTTGTAGTTGTTTGTTACTTCTGTTATCCTTCTTTTTGTCTTACAGAAAGTTCTTTTTGCTCTTTGTGCTTTGAATGCCTTGACCACCACAGTATGTTTAGTAGCTGCTGCCCTTCGTTACTTACAGATATTTGCAACAAGAAGATCCGGCATAGTAAGTGAGTGCAAAGAACAATTTAACTTTTATAAAGCAAAGAATTACTATGTGTAGATCATTAAAAATAATACTTTATTTTGTTAGGAAGAATCCCAGGTTTATGCAGGAGAAGTGGAAGAACAAAGCCATGCTTCAGATGCAGAAGATTTTGTGCCGCCCATCCCACCTCCATCATATTTTGCTACATTTTACTCTTGCACACCAAGGATGAGTCGCAGGTAAAGTGCTAAAAAGGAAAGTGCTTTGTTTATTCTGGGTCACTGTCAAATAAAGGATTTAACCAACAACACTTCTTGCTCCTAAAGCTACAACTTTTCTTGAAGTCAAGATTTACGTGCAAGTCCCATCCCCATCCCCCTGAGTGGTACCTGTTGTCATTCTGTCCTGGCTGTAAGCTGTAATTCTGTGATTTTCATCTAAGAGCCTTATGACAATTGCGCCTAGATAAGAGACATGTATTAATTTGTTGAAGTTCGATGGTATATAGTTGTTGCCTTGGGCCATGATAGAAACTGATTTCAACATGTTGCATGTGCAGAACACAGGTCTTTTGGAAGTAGTTTTTTCTTTATATATCAGATAATCCTAAATTGTGCATGGTAATTGCTTTTTCTGAGCATTAAAACATATTGATTAACATCTAAACAGGATTGTAGGCAGTATGCTACATATAATCTTATATCTTTGATAACTAGCAATGTATTGAATTAAAAATCAATTAGATCCATCTTTTCCCCTGTGCCCTCTGTTCTCTCTGGTCGTCAGATTATTCTTTCTGCATTGATCTCTCTCTCTCTCTCTCTCTCTCTCTCTCTCTCTCTCTCATATATTCCAGGTTCTCATTTAATTTCTATCAACTTTAAAAGGCACCAGTAAAAGCTAGATAACAGCTTTAGAGGAACTAGTTTTGAGATCTAAGCAATTGAGTGATTCAGTTAGGAAATCTATATTGTCTGTTCAAACATGTGTGTTTGGAGATCTTTAGAGGGCACAACCAGCCAACAAATCAAAGGCTCTAGGTTTTTGTGATGTTACCTATTGGTTTCTGTAGAATTCATGCAGAATTTCATCTTTCTATTACTTTGCATTTAGGAAATCTTTTCAGATCAAACAACAAACCAGCCCATTTATAAAATATTGAACTGGGGATATAGGAGATCTAGGGGTGCTGGGACTGTTGTAAAGAATTGCCTTAAGTGCACCTCCAGAGCAGAAGGGAAATTTCTGAGCAGTTTTACCTCCAGAAGATTTAATTGTGGATTGGGGGCCCTGGGAGTACTAGAAGGTTAAAAGTATGCCGGAGGCCTGTTGCCCATCCTTAGCATTCATGTTCATGATGACTGTATGTTATCTCCACAATCAATATCTGTTGCTAGGAGATAGCAGGAAATGGTTATTTGTCTCGAAATCTTCCCTCCAGAAGCTTAGAAGGTAGTACATTAAGCCTAGCTAGCGTAAAAGCCCTTATGACTTTAGGTGACATAGTGCTGACTAAATACGAGGAGATAATAAAAGCAGATTTCTTAAGGAAGTTATATTTCCCTAACTGGCCAAGATGGTCCTGTAGTTCAATGTCCCATACCCTTAACTTCACCGCTTTAATGGCATCTGTAAGACCCATTGCTATAAGTATACTGGGAGAAAAGCCAATTTTTGATATCTCTTCTGTTATATGCTTCTTCCACTCCGACTGAAAGGAATCTAGTAGAATCAGTGGGGCCAAGCCTTCGGATGAAAAAATCAGTTTAAGCCAGTATTTCAGCATAAGGACTTTGGCCTCTGCTTTAATGGATATTAACCCAACCTCTTAAGCGAAGAGCCACATTGGAACTGCAAGGTGGAACTCCAAGAATGGCTCTCGCAAATTTGGTCTGAACACTCTCCAGAGGTCGTAGATTAGTGTAAACAGATGTTTGGGTAGGTGATTTTAGATGGACAATACAATGTTTTTAATATAACACTGCCTGAGGTTTTACCTATATTAAGGATATATTATGTTATTAATTGGAAAGGTTGTTTTATGATGTTTTAATGGAATTTTATTACCTTGCCCGACTTTACTTAAAAATAATTATATGTATCTATTTTATATTGATTTGGTTTTACTGGTCTTTGACCGTAATAAAGTATACTAAAATTATTTGTCTCAAATCTTGTTTTTTGGCTTCCAGAAAATGTAAGCCTTTGGTCTGATTCAGTGTAATGCTGCTGTCCAGGAAAAAATATGAGTTTCTGAAGAGGTTCTAAAACCAATTTGTTTTCTATGTTAAGAGTATGAAATTGATCAAGTAATACCAAAAGAAATAGGAATTCCTTAAGACAAATGCCGAACTGTAATGTGAATAAATACCTATTTATGTTATTACTTTCTTCATCATGGCCTCTGAATGCACACAATTGAGTTCAGTCTGCGCCTGTGCAGGATTCATCAGAATATTCTAGAGCAGGGGTGTCCAACCTTTCACTTTCCCTGGGCCACATTAAAAGATGAAAATTTGGTGTGGGCAGCACATACATTTGGTTTGGGCCGAATGGGGGGGGCAGCCCTAGCCTTCCTCCGCAGCCCCGCTCCAAGCACACTTACCAGCAGCTGCAAGCTCAGACAGCAGAGGCTGCCAGCTTCGACTCTGGTGGCTTTATGGGGCCGGGAGGGGATCCACCTATTGACGGGGACGGCGCAATGCAGTCACGCAGCCTCCCTCTCCCCTTCCCTCCCACTCCTTCCTTCCTTCCCTCTCTCCCCCTCTACTGCTGTGACATGCCCCGGCCACATTCTGGCCGCAAGCGCCGGCAGTGTATCTTGAAACTTTGGAATTTCTTTAAAAATAAAAAAATGCACTGAGCCGCATTACAAGCTGACCTGGGCTGCATGTGGCCTGTTCTAGAGCTTTTAGAAAAAATAACATAGTTGAGAGTTGCCCCTACAGTGCGTGCTACGCCCGCCTCAACACTCAGTTCCATTTTACCACCGTGCCGTACGGAACTTCTCGATTTAGAGCTAGCGTTTTACTGATTATACTGTTTAGGTTATACTGTTTAGACCCGGACTAACTGACTACGATTTTCTCGCTATTCCTACTTCCCGTTGCCCCTCGCGTTCATCCCTTTTTTCTGGTTGGAATTTTTCGTGTCAAGACTCAGACTGTTACTGTACCTGCGCTTTCTACTTTGGACTGGCTTTGATACTGGTGTTATTCTGGTGCCGACTTGGACTGTCTTTGACCACTCTGTCTCCCTATTCCTTTGGATTATACTTTTAGATTATTTATATATCATTGGTTTTGACCTGGACTGCATTGGGTTCACCTTCGGTTTTGTGAGTTTACAGAACACCCTTTATTCTTCCACTTTATGTCCCCTTCGGTTCCCTTTAGACGGTGCGTGTCGTGTACTCGTAAGCTCCCCTTTTTGGATGGTCACGACTGTTGTTTATTTTGTCTAGGGCAATACAGTGGTGCCTCGCTTAACGAGCGCACCGTATAATGACGAAATCGCATAGCGATCCGTTTTTTCGGATCGCTAATGCGATCGCTCAGCATTTTTCTAAGAGGGCAAAATTCGCTTTGCGAAGACCGGTAAGCGTTTCGCTTACCGATCTTCGCAAAACGAAGCCCGACGATCAGCTGTTCGGCGGCCAAAATGGCCGCCGGAAGCCCGGAAATGGCCCAACATGGCCGCGCACAGCGTTTTCGCGCCCTCGTTAAGCGAGGCGAGGGCGCGAAAATGGCTGCCGGCCATTAAGAAGCATCGCTGAACGGTGAGTATTCAGCCCATTTGGAACGCATTAAACCATGTTTAATGCGTTCCAATGGAATTCCCTGCCCCGTTCAACGATGCTTCAGCATAGCGAAGGTTAATCCGGAACGGATTAACCTCGCTATGCGAGGCACCACTGTAGAGGCAAACCTTTTCTGGCCGGAGTGCCCAAAATGACGGGGTGGGGAAGAAACCAGTGGCTGCTGTGCCGCTTGGAAGACCAGAACTGGAATGGGAAATGGCAGTTTCAGTGAGCTTGCAGCTTTAAGAGCAGATGCTCCCTATCTACAATTCTTCCATGATAAAGTGCTCCTCTACCCTGATGTCTCCTTTCTTCCCAAAGTTGTCTCCGATTTCCACCTGAACCAACCTTTGATTCTACCGACTTTGTTTCCTGATCCTTCTTCAGAGACAGAACATATGGCCTTGGCGTACTACACATCACGGACTAAAGACTTTCGTGCTTCTCCTAGGCTTTTTCTGTCTTTCTATGTCCCATGTAAAGGATCACCTGCATCTCCTTCCACGATTTCAAGGTGGCTTGTTTCCACTGTTGCTCTTGCTCTTGCTTATGAACTCACAGCAATACCCTTCCAGAGGGTCTGAGAGCACATTTGACCAGGGCAATGGCAACGTATACAGCCTTCCTGCGTGGTGTCAATGTTTCTGACATCTGCAGAGCAGTTACTTGTCAACAGTGTCCACATTTGTGATGGACTATAGACTAGACATCCGAGCCAAGAAGAAAGCGAAATTTGGGAGAGCAGTTTTGACATTGATACTAGAGTGACAGCCCTCTTATCTTTTAAGTGAGCTTGCTAGTCACCCAATTGTGTGCATTCACAGAGGCCACGATGAAGAAAGAAAGGTAACTTACCTGTAACCATGGTTTTTCAAGTGGATCTCTGTGAATTCACACATGCCGCCCTACCTCCCCTCTATCTGTCACTCTTTATGAATTCATGCATTCTAGCTTATTACTGGTGGATAAAATGGAACTGAGGGTTGAGGTGGGTGGAGCATGCGCTGTAGGGGCAACTCTCAACTATGTTATTTTTTCTAAAAGCTCTAGAATATTCCGAGGAGTCCTGAGCAGGTGCAGACTGAACCCAATTGTGTGAATTCACATAGGTCCACTTGAAGAACCATGGTTACAGGTAAGTAACCTTTCTTTTCCCTTCTCCAGTCCTACCATAAAAACCAACAAGGCCATAAAATCTTTGGAACATTCATCCGTTGTTTCCGTGCCCGTGCCAGTGACAAAGGAAATGTATTTCTTCCTTTCTCTGCCCCTCCTTTTCTTTCTTTCTCCTTTCTTCCCCATTCTGTTTTTATAAAAAGGTGCCCCAAGCCTCAAAACTTTGAAATTATTGGTTGTTACTTTCTCCATAGTGCCCTGTTTCATAAGGGTAAGGGAGAAGGTATTTATTACCTGTAGATTGTAAAATCAAATTAAATAGAG